CGCCATGCATTGCAGCTTATCAGTTCTGGCCGTTCTGTTTGGTATCACTGACATTATTTCCATTTGTATATATGACTCACAAAGTCCCACAATCCTTTTGTTGACGTGCAAGACCAACCGTTTCGGTGTTGTTATGTCGCAAATTTTTCAGTGCTAATTTAGCACTGCCAAGTACAGTATAATTTCATCAACGTAAATGATTTTCGGGTACGCAGTACCAATCCATATCAAATATCAACAAAATGTTGACGGTGCAAGCGGTTCGAATCAATTCGTGTTGACGGGCTTGATCGAACGCGATATGAGAAAATGTACTCAGATCGTGTTCGATGTTGCTCTTGCCAAATTCGAAGCTTTTTTGGGATCGCTGGCGTCACAAAAAATGTCATATCAATGCACCAGATTTTCTGTTGTACAGATCCGGCGCAAGCTGCTGTCTTGCTTTAGCGACAACATTTAGTGCCATCTATGGACGTGGAACTGATTTTTTACTCTTTTTTTGAAACGGTCATATTTTGAAGACAGATGAACCGATTTTCAAAGTTTGATGTTTTTTCTTAATCTATGGCCCAAGGGCTTTCCAACCATACATCAATCGCGGCGAACGGCCTTCCAAGTTGGGATTTGGAAATTACGTGTATATATAGCGAGTCGACTTTTCAACACACAAAGTGGTTTCGTCACTCGTGCGAACTGCCTTTCGCTGTGATTAAGTGCAATCGACAAAATGCTACCATTAGAAGAAATGACAAATTTTGGAGTTGGTTTTGATCTGGATCTTGGAATGGATGAAATAAGTAAAAGTAAATGATATAATTCGTTGTTATATATTATATTATAAACTGTGAAACTTTGAATTTATCAGATAATGAATCTGCTGAACTGACATTTACTCTATCTATAACCGACGTACAAGAAATGGCCATCGCTAACGGAATTAAACCACATGATATTTAATTTTTTATAAAGTAAAATTTAATTAAATAAAATTATGATACGCATTTTGCGACTTCAAAATCAAAAAATAGAAATTATGTTTCTTCTCTACCACAAAAAAGCCATTTGCTAAACACCAATTTTTTTAATGCAAGGATCATGCTTCCACGAACATGATCAGGGTCGCAACTCCCTAATGCAGAGTGTTTTTATGGTGTTTAATAATATAATAAATTATCAAAACTGGATAATTGGATTACAGGTTTTCTCGTTACATAAATACCAGCATAATTTCCGGTGCAGAAGTATGATACTTCTTCATAGTATCGTGTATGTTCATGCAACACAACAAGAAATGGTACCTAGGGGCAGAGCAGTACTAGAATAATCATTTTTGTTTAAAGTAATTCTATGTTGTGAGTAGTAATCCATATCGATTAAAAAACCTCTGTCGAGGTGAAGAACGAGCGATGAAACAAAAATTTGAAACACAAAATTTCTGATATCAATTTTGTGACGAAAATTTTTGATAGATAATTTTTCTGTGTGTTTCTGTGTAAGAGTTATGAGAAGCAAATTGTTATTGAAAACATTGATCTTTAATTTGGAAAAGTGTACAATTATCATTCCAAGTCTTTTATTACTTTAAGATTTTATATTCAACCAGTTTGTATCAAATGTGGAACAAAAGTGTATCATATAGCGAACAGGTGTGTATGAATGCAATATTGGCTATCTGAAATCAAATGAAATTAGACCATTGTAATTCTTAGGCGATCGGATTATGAGCTATTATATATAGCTATGAATACTATGATAAAATGACAATAATTACGTCTTGTTACTTTGAAAGTCATGAGTGAAAAGAACGATAACCCTACCCTCACTTGCTTTCTATATCACCTGTATATTTTTTTTGAGCTTCACGTTCCGAGCGACATCTCTATGTGCTTGGCATTGAACTCGCGATCCAAACGAGCACCAAAGGCAATTAAAACATTTTTTTTTTGGTGCGAAAAAGTCAAAAATGTCAACTGATTTTGTGTGAAGAAAAACCATGTGATATGCAACGTCCTCGCAGTTAATTTCGATGACACAAACTGTGCAAAGTAATTTCAATTTATTTTCCATCACAAATTCACCAAATACAAATAATAAATCGGTTTTTGTTCAATTTACACGGTATATCTTTATCGAGCGTAAAATGACAGACGTCACAACAAATGATTCCGTATTCAAACTTCAAACAACTAACATTCTACACAAACTTTTTGTTCTAATTTTCATGAGCACATAGAGATGGCGCCATCATGCAGTTTTTTACATTATTTGCCATTGTAAGTGATGGTAGCGATAACCTAAATGTGAGTTTGTATGCAACGGCAAAGTTTAAACGAAAGAATGGAATAGAGTGATATGGTAAAATAGTTTCAAAGTACTAGAGTTGACTATAACCACTAATAACTGATGCTTCGCAGCGGTAAACTTTTCATGGACTATGTTCAATCTTTAAAACGCCAAATTTCCATCCATTTTGAGAATTGGTTTTAAATTGATTTGTAGTGCCATAGGTGGAAATTTGGCGTTTTAAAGATTGAACATAGCCCATGAAAATGTTTACCGCTGTGAAGCTGTTAGTGTTGTTATAGTCAACACTAGTACTTCGAAACAGTTTTACCATATCACTTTATTGTTTCGTTATAAAATGAACACTGAATGACAGCTCATGATACCGTTGAATTTTACTACTACTCTGTGTACTTTGATTTTCATTTGCGGTTTTTTAGTCCTCTCTGGTAAGTTCTTAAAGTTGATTAAAGTGATTTAATTTCTTTTTTTTTGTTCAATATTTTTGAATCAATAAAAAAATAACCATCAATGTGGTGAAAAGTCAACTCACACTGTATTATAATATAATACACAGAATTTCCAAGTCCTGATCTAGAAGGCCCTTCGCTGTGACTAACCGACGCTATACAAATTTTTATTCTAAATATTTATTCACGACAGAGTTTTTCTTATTCGAATTTCCTATACATTAATTTTGAAATTGTGTTCGTACAGATCTTACATGTTTCTTTTCGTTTTAACTCTTATTTGTAATTTTTGATTTTATAGTCGCTGCACAGCGGCGACTCAACATTGTAACATGACCTCGCCGGAAAGGAAGAAACGAAAACTCGACTTTTTGTCAGACAAAGGTTTGAATTGTTTGAAAATAAATAGTCAATTGAAATTTTTATAACAATTTTTCATTCCGCTAGAATCGAGAGAAAAAACTGGTACCTTGATTCGTCGATCATTTGATAAGAAAAATGCGCCAAAACATCTAAGCATCTGTTCTCGCTGCTACGAGTTTTTTTATAATATGCCAGGAGAGGTGTCAGCTTCTGTGTTCGAGCACATGTGCGAAGAATCTGATAAAAAGGTGGATCTATTGACGAAGGCAATTTCAATATTGAACGATAAATTAGAAATGGAAAATGGTAGGTCATTTAGTGCAGTAATGCCACCAATACCATCACGTTCGCCATCAACACTTGCGTCGCCACCACCACCACCACCACCACCACCTGCTATGCAATATTCACATTCTCTGTTATCAACTCCATTGAAAAAATGCTTAAAACCAGTTGATCGGTAATTCATTATCGCAATTATTCATCTCTCACTTTTAAAAATCATTTAATTTACACATTTTAGAAAATATCACAAAGATACTGTCAAATCCAAGAATAAAGAAGGAAACAAAAATGGCAACGGAACAGAAGATTTGAAGAATGAATTAATCAACGAACTCAAGAAGGTTTTGTAAGTTCCACATTTTTTTTCTAAACATTTATCTTAAGGTATGTAACATATATTCATTTCGATTCATTCATTAATATTAGGGAGCGTCGTCAAAAAGCCACGGAAGAAAAGAACCTGGAAGAAAAGACCGAAGAAGTCGACAAATTCAAGAGCAGCAATGATGATAAACCATAAAATCTTGATCTATGAATGAATGTAATTGTCGAACTCTCTTGAGATTCAATTACTACGATTTAAATTTAATTTTTGTCATCAGAAACTAAAATAAATACATGCGCTGCAAAGCATAAAAGTTCTTCAATTTTATTTATCCTGAAGTTCAAGTTAACTTATTTCCATTGAAATATCGGCAAAACATATATTTTTGAATCGGCAAAAACATATAAATTGAATGTTTATTGTTAAAACACGAAAAAATTATATTTCCGCTATGTTTTTCACCAGGTGTTTTTCTATTCTATAATTTAAATTATTTCAGTGTCATGACCATTGGTTGTGATGCAATCTAAGACGATCTATTAATTCATTGGGATCTTTCTAACATTTATAGTCAATGCATTTATCTCTATTAAATTCCATGTAATTTATTTTAAAAGAAAAGATTTTCGAAACAATGGTTGAAATGGCGATGACACGAAATGAAAACAATAGAAGTGATTGTTATAGTTATGGTAGTATTTTTATACTTATACAATACAACAATCACTTCTATTGTTTTCACTACGTATCATCGCCTAACGTTATCCAAAGGACCTGAAATATCCAGGTGACAAAATCCAAATATATTGTCTGCTTAGAACCGAGTTTTCTAATTTGAAAAAGAAAAAAATAACTCGTTTTTTCACAAACCCGTGTAATGAATCCGACGATTAAAAGAGCCATTCTTTTTTCAAAAACAAGCTGAAAAGTTCGCGTTTTATGACCGACATTGTTTCGTGTCAATTGTGCAAGTGATTTATAAATCTTTATAATCACTGATTTATTCAAAAGAAAAAATATAAAAAGTACAAAATGTCTAAATAAGAACTATTGGAAAATCAAGCCATCGAAGTCGATGAGCTACAGCGCTTAATTTGAAACTTCTATAAAGATGGTGCAGCAAGCAAAACCAAGCACTATTTACGTGACAAAATAGTGACATTCTCGGAAATGATTTCTCAACGCCTGCGAAATATAATATGTGAATATACTTGGAATGTTTGGAAATATTTTTTTTTTTTGTTTTTTTTTTTTTATTTGTTAATTAGGTCTCATTTTTAACATAAATTGTTGAAAAAATTTATTTGCATCCAAAGAAAAAGTGATTCACTTTCTGGCTTATTGTTGTTGATGGGCAACATCACGTGCGAATGTACATTGTGGTGGTGTACGGATACGACGGGCTTCCTTCGATCTGTTACGCACAACTTTCGAGTGAATGGCGCATTAGACGCAGTAGTGCAACTTGGCGAACAATTTTGGGAGGTAGTAAGTGGTGTTGACTGTAAACACACATTAGAAACGCACAAATATATATTCTGAATTTAATATAGGTTCGCTTAATTGAGTTGATGTAAAATTCATAAAAAACACAATAAAAAAATCTCTTTTGCATGCATAAAATATAGCAGTGACCGGTTCGCGCATATTTCTATGCCTGATAGCTATGCTAAGCATAGCGGAGACGCAAGCCGCAACGCACCCGTCGCCATTCGATTCGAGCTATATCAACCCCCCCTGATGTCAAACAATGAAAAAAGATTCATAACATACAACACCATCTCTTGGTATGCCACATATCTGTTTTTTTCTCCACAATGTGGAGAAAGTGTTTACGTATACGTATACGTTGACATTAATAATCTGTCAAAACCATAAACACATTATTTTCATAACGCAATTTTGCGAGAGTTCCTATTCTCTGCAATTGTACCCGTTGTAATGACAAGTTCTGGTTTTGGTGAGTCGACTCCAAAAAATGTGGCTTGAAAATTTTGTGTTACCGCATAATTTGCGAGACGTTTCAAATATAACAGCGAAGGTCCAACGAATGTTTTTTCGTTTTGTATAGCTTCGATCAGAGTTTTATCTTCCTGTTTAATCAATTTAATACCACCTCGATCCCAACTGTGCTCAACTCTTTTGTGCTTGTAAATGTTTCCCGAAATATTCTGCTGGCATACATCGCACTAAACCATTTTGCGTTTCCTGTTTAAATTATAAAATAATTGTTGATATAAAGAATGTAAAACTGAGAGTAAAGAGCGATTGAGGTTAGAATATCACGAAAATGTGCATATGATTCTAAACGTTCTAAACTCATTTATTGGTTTTTTTCTCTCTGCTTTACATTTCTTGTTACTGTAAAATCACTTTTCAAAAATTTATGAAATCGTATTCAATCTAAACACAATAAAATCACAAAATAACTTACAGTTTGCACACAAAAATTTAATTTTTTTCAACTAATAGGAACTATCGCAAAATTGCGTTATGAAAATAATGTGTTTACGGTTTTGACAGATTATTAATGTCGACGTATACGTAACCACAGCTGTCATAATATATACGTAACTTCGTATTTTCACATTGTGGAGAATTTTTTCTGTTTCATTAATAATGAATCATTATTTTCTGTAATAAATAGAAATTTATTTATTTATAATTCTAATAGAATGAATTTGAAAAAATAAATAGAATCATTTATATGAAATAAAAATAATTCTAATTTGAAATAATACGATTTTGTTAGGTTCCCATAGAATGGTGTGAGTATTTATAATTTAGTTGTATTATTTTATATGCTTTATGTGTGTGTACAATGATTTTTAATTGATTTAATTTCAATTTGATTTACTTGAATGATTTTTAATACAATTTTTGTGTTGAAACTATAACATTCAAATACATTCCAAATTATTGAAATAAATTTGATTTTTGCATCTAATTCACACTAAAATCAGATGGCGCTCATTAGCGAGATTCGCAAAAAAAAGTCTCCAATCTCATATACGTCAACCCCCCTTGAGCTATATTGTATGCGCACGGTCGTCTGCATAAACGAACATGTGTATTGTTCATATAGAGTGAACGGCGATGCGTCGGTTGCGTTTGCGGTTATGCTTGGCATATCTATGCTACCTAGCGTATTTAGGCAAGCATAGAAATATGCGCGAACCAGTCACTGAAATATAGTATGTTTTGCATGCTTTAAATGCACAAAAAGACCTCTTAATGCAATACTCACAATGGCGTCTTACACTCTCAAGATCCGTAAATCCAAAAATTGAATGTGAATTCCTGCAAAAAAAATGTGTATAAAAACTTAACCACACTTTGGCACAAAATAGCGCTAAAAAATGTGTTGCGCATGCAAACAAAATAATCTCTTATTGCACAAAAAAACACTATAAAGAAACTCTTTTGCATTATTTTTTAATTTATTTTGCATATATATATTTTGCATGCTTTAAATACGTTAAATTTGCACAATGGCGTCCGACTCACTCGATATCACAAACGAAAAGAACGAAGAGAAGACAAAAATGTCACAACACAGCACGTCGTGTGTAAACAGAGCGAATATATTGTACAGAGTACAATAGTTGATCGCCTCACACTCACGGCGCTCTCAATGCTTTGTGTGTATTGAATTCATTTACGTTGAACGCGTTCATTTACAATACATAAAAAGCATTGAGAGCGCTGTGCGTATGAAGAGATGAAATATATATTCATTTGTTGTTTTGTTCTTTCTCACTTAAAAAAACCTTCGAAAAAACATCTTTTTTTAAATTAATTTTTTCTTTATGTTTTCAATTTTTTTTTGTAATTAATATAAAACACAACCCGCAGTGGCTATTCACCCACATTTAAAAAAAAAAGTGGAAAAATACCATTCCAAATCTTAGTTTTATGCTAACACACAAAACCATACTTATTTTTATATATAGAGATGTGTCCCTTGTGAACTAGGCATGCATAAAGAATGCGAATCGCAAATTCATAATGAACTCAATGCCAGTAAAATAAAAAATATATGAATGCCTGAGAATAGATGCCGAATATCATATATTATAATACAATTTTCATTCTTATTTTTGGAACTACATCAAAAATGAAATTGAAAAGCCATACGCTCGGATATCAAGAGACGTTATGGATGCTTTCCTGCGGTACATAGTTTTCCCAGAAAGACACCATAAGAAACCGATTATTTATGCACCGTCAGAAATAAAACTTATGGCAAAAGCAGGGAGTGTAGAAAAATTGAAAATATTTCAAAAACAATACACCTCATATGAAAACCATTGGGTTGTACTCAAGCACCGTGCAGAGTCAAAACTTAAATTTGTCGTCTCTATTTATGATAGCCTATATGGCATCAAAGATAAGGCCAATCAAAAGCATTGGGTAGTCGATAAGAGAGCACTCCAGGTTCTATATGGTACAACACCATATAATAATATAATCCCAGTGAAGACAACACAGCCTCTTGCGAGTGGTGCATGTGGCATATTTGCCATCGCAAATTTTTTCACATTATTGCTAGGTAAAAATCCAGAAGTGCAAAATTATCATTTATTGAATGAGGACGAGATGATAAAAGAGACACGACGATGGGAATGCGCAGACACCCTGCAAAATTATTTAAAACACGAAAAATTAAACTCTTCCCAACCGATCAGCTCTAGCCAGAGCAGAGAGCAAGTAAATAATAAGTTTTTTGTACTCACATTATCACAGTTATGTGGAATTACATTTGACAGATGACATGACAATGTCAAATCGATTCAATGTATCGAATTTGACAATGCACTTCGTACCACCATTTTGGTAATTTGATACCAAAATGGCGGTGCGAAGTGCATCACATTCTACTGATGTGGTGTTACCACCAAACGAAGTTGATGTGGTGGTACCGATAGCTCAGCCAATTGTTCAACAAACGCCGGCAAAAAGAGCGGTACGTTTTCACTCATTACCAACTCAGTCAGTCCATTTACCATCAGTAGCACCACCGCCGCCACAACAACAACAACCGGCACGTCGTATAACTACTCGCTTGTAATCCGTTCGGTTGGCTGCACTACCACAAACAACATCATCACGGTCGGACGATAGTGATGAAGAGCAGCTGGCCATTAAAAGGCGACGGTAAATATTCTTCACTTTTCTGTTCAATAGCGACACTATGACCAGTGACTACCCTCAAGTGCGGGACTGTGGCCGTTAGCAGGTCCAAAACAAAATCTTTGAAATTTGGAATCTCATTTTCGTGAAAATTCTTGAAATGTCATTACTAAAAATGAGAATACCTTATAGTACCATCATCAAAACCAATGACTATTGAGCAAAGTCTTGAATGAATTTTTGAACCCAATATTATTCGAGATAGGGTTGAATTGAAAAAGTAAATTAAAACTAAATTCTATTAACGAAATCGATTTTGAATTTTGATTACGCAGTATCGTATAAATGCCAAATGCAGCATTCGATCATTTAGATCTAGACTAACTGACATAAATGTGACGATTCCATTCACATATTATCAACAAGTCTATAAGGAATTTTACTATTTTCATAACCTAGCGATCTGATATTGTTTAAATCATCTCTCAATCATTTTTGAATTGAATCTCATGTAGTTCACTTAAAAGGAGTAATAAAAATAAATGGGGTAGTCTCAAAATTAAATCTCAACTGACATATCAACAGAGTGCTGAAAAACACATGCTCAAAAACGCAGAATGTAGCGGCATATGCATTGCGCCACATATTTCTATCTCGACACAAATGGAATATATGCAAAGTCACACAGTGGTATTCCGTGCAACACAAATATACGCGATGTCGTGTATGCTTACTCACACACACACAATGAATACAAGGTATACGGAACGCGTATATTTGTGCTGTCTGTGTGATTTTGATGAAGAAATATGTGGCGCAATATACATTTCTCTCTCATACATATTAAATAACATGTAAATTGCATGTGTGTTTTAACACCATCACTGGGCAACATTCTCATTATTTATGCTGAAAAGACACCGACTGCCACCAATGAAGCACGTCCACAGGTATGTATTTTCTTGTGCCACAGAATCATGATACAGGAATCTCTTTATGTTATCTACTATGCACCATTGAGTAGCGATATATCTTTGCATGTGTAAACAGTCCAGTGCTTGACTGTGTGTTCTCGCTATAATAATTATAATTCAATCCGCAATTGAACAAAAACTAAGCCTATGACATTACAAATGTTGTTTCACATCGACAAGTACAATCGATGTAAGTTCATTTAATCAAAACTTTTTCTTCGTATCAAAATAAAAGAGTAACAGCGAAGCGTTTGCAATTTCTTTCACGTTTATGTGAATAGAATTTAGGAGATAACCTTTCCGACCTACAATCAACAAATATCGGGCCGGGTTTCTGTATTATATTCTCTTCGCACGAAGTATGTGCCGTACAAGGAACAATTCATGTTCAAAGCAACAATGGACACCAAGAAAGAAAAGAACAGTGATGGTTTTTTCCTATCTGAATAGCGCTAGCTATTCGCAGCGCCTGTACAGCATTGCTGCCCAGATGCTGAATCGTAGCGGTTGCCGCACGCGCAACACACTTCGTTTGTACCACACAGAGCATATACGTTCGCGTTCGTTCTCTGTTCGACATGCGTTTGTATAATGACTATGGTATTAGTGTATCATACTCTGTTAGCTCACTGGTTACTTAGACTATATGACAATATGTTGTGTGGTACAAAATGCGTGCGGCAACCGTTTCGATTCAGCATCTGGGCAGCAATGCTGTACAGACTCTGCGAATAGCTAGCGCTATTCAGATAGGATCATAGGATAGGACCACCACTGATTACAAGCCACACCTCCAACATTAGTTATAACGAATCTAGTTCGCAAACTCTTCAATTTTTTTTTTTAAACCCAAAGAAAAGAAATGTGAATTTAATTCAAATAAAAAACATTTTGTTTATTTTTTATTTAAAAAAAAAACTGAATTTATTCGAAATATAGTCTCAATTTGAGCAGAAATTGCCAATATTAGTTCATATATACCGGCCGCCGCCACCAAATTTTAAAAGGAAAATCTCTAATTATACACCGAAAGTAGATGTATTTTTTCTTTTTTAAGTGCTGTCATTGAATTTATACACAAGTATGTGAAAAAAAATTGTAATTGAATTCGTGCTGTACCGATGAAACCGTTCAAGCGACGTGCTTTTGTAATTGCATGCACAATCGAACTCGAACTGCAGACAGAAATAAAGTCAAAAATTCACAGTAAAAAAGTTTGGGTGCATATAAACCATGAACATTTCCGATATACCGGCTTGGTGGATACTGGTTTTTTTAAATCGAAACTCATGTTTCGCACTTGTTCGAATGGCAAGCTGTATGCAATCGGTATCCATTTCAAGCTATCTTGTGCACTGTTGATGGTGTAAAAGAGGTCTCGGATCACGGAGGTTTTCTCATCCGAAATTATTTAGGCGAATCGATTACAAAAAAGGCACCGAGATGTGTATTTGGGTACGTTAAGATCTCCTTGTATTTATGATGTTCTTGTTCGACTGCAGTCGTATTGTTCAACTGCAGTACTCGGTTTGGATAAAGAAGCGATAATATTACTGCCTAAAATGATAAAAAAATAAAATGCACATATAGTTGAAGAATTGGACCAAGTAAAGGATTACTTGCAAGATACGGGTAGCAACACAGAACCGCTACGGCCGACCGTATCTCACAACGATGAAATGAGTGACGCGTTGGAAAGGGCGTGTCTTCACTTCCATCTGAAGACGTGGTACGTCCATCGTCATAACAATCTGAGCGAGACAGATTGGAAAAAACTGAGCGAAGCCATGAAGAAGGACGGCCTATCCAATATTATAGTCCACCAACAAGGTAATACCGCCACTATTATACATTCGTGTGAACGCCCTTCAGCCATTAAATGCCGTTGCATTTTTTATGGGCCTTTGTGCCCCCCCCATCATTCGGCAAGGCAAGCAAAATTTAAACATGCTTACAGCTCCAAATTCTATGGAATTCTTCCGTGAAATTTTTCAAACATTATTGGAATTTGGAGGTGACTATACTTCGATGAAAGTTGTCAAAATTGGCGGTAAGCGTTATTAGGCGTATACTTTCGACTTAGTCCGTTGCAACGGAAAACAAGTTTGCATAGAATGCAGCGCCAACTGTATGTGAATTTCATTTTTTATCGTTTTAGGCAATAAATCTATGGTTTTCTTAAGGCTTCATTAT